TAGCTAGATAGATAGCTCTTCTCCAGGCTGATTCATCCATCCATCTTATGTCAGCTAGGCTAACATTCCGCGTCATTCGAGGAAGGCGATCGACGGATGGAACGATGGATGGTTAGGGACTCATACATAAATAACACATGCCCTAAACATCTCGTTCAATCCATGTGACTGCATCAGAACCCCGTCAATAGATTTATTTTCCCTCCCCCTATGTAGTACATCACTCGATCAATGACTCAAGTCACCTCAATAGTACTTACCCTATTATACCGAACAACTAACCTAACACGGAGTGTAGATAGAACGCAGACGGACATCTATGATGAATGATAGCTGGTTAACCGTCCTTTTCAAGTCTTCCACCACTTTCAGTGGCCATGTCTCCATCACAGCCAGCCAGCCATAAAGGGGGACGGAGCAAACTGTTGTTGCCGCTGTGCAGTACACATGTATATCCTTTGGTCGACAGTTAACCAGCCAGCCGGATATCACGTCTACGAAGTCACCAGAGATTGTGTAGGTTGTTTGGCCAGTGCCAAACAATAATACATATCCACTAAGCTAACTACTCGAAGAACAGAGTGAAACGCACTATTTGAACTAGGGTATTACCTGTCAGATTAAACAATCAAGTATGATTTACCTCATAGTACTTCAATATCTTTATCTCGGTGTCATTCTCCTTCCTTGGAATTAACGAGATTATAACAGGGATAAGATATCTACACTCGTAACAAAAGGGGATGAAAAATTCGCTCGAAACTGCAGCTATTATACTTACAAGAATCACATTTACACCACAAGGAAATTTACATGAATGGAAGGCTATTCACCTCAATATTGTTCCTTAAAAAAAGATGGCTATCACGTTCAGTGGCCAGATGAATAGCACTTCGGCCTATGAAACAATGACAGTTTTATTCTAGTCTCAGTTGGGATGCAGGTATACAGATGATGAATAGTTAATGAAACACTAAAGAAATATCTCTATAAATACGAAACCACTAAGTATTTTTCCACCAATCGAATGCAACCTTGCGGAGAAACAGTAATATTCCCTTTCAACGATTTCGTCTTACCACACCAATCGGACGTATTCATATTTGGCGGAAAGTCAATAGATCACAACTATTCAGCAGCTCTTTCCAAAGCGGGAGAAAGCATATTATACCGCCTACACACATAAACCTACACATTATAATTCTCTTGGTTTCCGTGTCAATTAGGTAGGCGTCTGGCAACTGTACTTGAGAATACTACTTTTCTGCCTTTCACAGACAGACTTTTAGGGATATCTTGTAGACGCTCTCCTCCTCTCATCCCATTCTATGTACTTGCTTGACGCCTATAATGTATCAGGTCCTGTTTTAAATAAAATAAAGTAAAAATGCGTAGCCCAGGAGTTGAATCCAGACCACTTGAGTGGCTAGCATTCTACCAGTGAACCATCGACCAGCAATATTAATAAATAACCATTCAATACTGCCAAGTTAAGTTTGTTCCAATGATATCTGTTGAAAGCGAACAGTCAATCACAGTCCCACAAAGAGACTAGTAAGTTGTATTATTGGTGTGGCATGTGTTACTAACAAGATTTATGCGTAGTATTAAAAAGGGACGTTCATCGGTGCAAATATATCAAGCAGCGGAGAGTGGGATTTTACACCAAAGAGAGCAAATGAACCAGTGTTGCACCAAAATATGGAAGACACCAAACGAAGACAATATGCGAACGGTAGAAATAACGCACAATCCGGAAGACCTGTGCAAATGACGATTCTCATAAAAGATGTGCATAAGTTCCCTATATAATACAGATGTCAAATTCCAGATAAACATTCCATTACTAAATCTCTTGTCTTCTAGCGTAACATTATCACTTCGACGGTGTGCTGATGTAAAAACGCAAAGGGGAAATTAGGCTGGAAGGCAAGAAAGATTATTGTCCGAAAATAAAGAAGTAAATAAACGGCTTTACATATTAAAAGCTCAGTCTCAACAGCGTATTTTATACACTCCACAATACTCGTGTCCAAGGCTTCCTGCCGATTGCCTCCAACCACTTAATATCAACAATGTAAAGCGTACCGTGGTGCTGGTGAGCCACCTAGCCTGTTGGTGGCCACACTGTAAAATCCACGGACGATAGAATCGATCTGCACCAAAGAAAGGAATAGACACATTACACTGGTTGCTAGCTAGCTAGTGTCCAATCAAAGTGTCCAATACAGTCCCTACAGGGGGTCAGAAGGGACATGAATTCATCCAAGGTTGCAGATACGCCTTAGTGACGAGTGTCAACTAGCACGGAAAGTAGATTCAAGGCTTCCTGTCGATTGCCTCCAACCATCTGATATACCCTTGAAACTGACAGCACAATAAAGACATGCTTTAATGAAAATAAAGAGATTTAGTATTTACAAACACACAGCAAAATCATATGACATGACTTCAAAAATTATCAGCAGATACACTGTAATACATAATCAGCTATTGTATAACATGGAGAATTTATGTTTGTTTGTTTTTTCATCTATCAATCAAACAACAATAAATATTTATTTCACAGACTTCTGTTATGATCACGTGTTTATGTCTACTAGCCAAAGGTCCAAGTATTTTCAATTTTCTATTTAACTCTAGTAGATCCTATCCTTATATACCCTGACACTAACCTATATCTATCATGTTCAATCGTACACTACACCCAAATAAGAAATTTTGGGGTTTCTGCAGGTTTTTCGAGGCAAATTTTTGGGGGTTTCATGGGATTCAGAGATTTCGGTGAAAATTTCGGGGTTTCTGAGGGAAGGTTTAGGGCAATTTGCGTTATTTTTTGGTCAATTTCAGCATTCTGAGGGCGAACTTCCCAGTTGTTTTCAGCTTAGCGGGCTTAGGTGGAACGCATCATTCCCCCCCCCCCCAAAAAACAACCCAAAAATACATCACCAATTGCGCCGAAAGTTGCCGAAAAAACCACAAAAATTTTGGAGCGATTACAGAGGGTTTCCGAACAAATCAATACAACAAATTTCAAGAAATGAATCATTTTTCCCCGAAAAATCCTAGAAATCTGTCCTAAAAAGGCCCAAATTTTGCCCAGACATTTAGAATATATAGTCGTGATAATAACTGTTGTTGTGAAGATCAGTTGTCCTCTAAAATTCCACTAATATTCTACCAACTGTCTTGTCGTGGTCAACACAACCAACAACTCAGTCCACTCATGAAAAGGAACAAGGTGTTCACATCAACATATGGAATTGATCAATTAACTCACTACCTGTCATATATATGACAATAAACAATCTAAATAACATTTCTGATTCATATAAAACAATAAGTGGAGTTGACAAGAACAAGCACATAAAATGAGGAGTGGTTTTGTTGCATGTCCTCGCTACTTGTAGCCTCGTAATCCGTCACTATTGTGGTTTAATGACAAGTTATATTTTTGTTTACATGCTTTTTAAGTGAAATTTTACATTGAAAATTTTTTTTCTAACATAAACATTGTCGGTGGCATTATTCTTTTCAAATGAGTTACATTTGCTGTACTTTTATCAGAAAATTTCGCTTGATAATGACACATGTGCAATGTAACGGATTAAAGGAGGCAGGCAGTAATTTCCATGAAATCATGCTCGTATACTTTTTCGCCTATTTATTGATTGAAACACCCTAATACGAACCACCGGATAAAGCAGAGAGCGCCACTTCAAGAAATAAGGGATATGCCATATACTCGTCCTATCCATCAAATGTTTTTGCCTAACAACCGAACGTCCAAGTATCTTCTTCAATTTCCTATGCAACTTTAGTAAATCCCCTGTCCCATATACCTTGACGCTAACTGGTATATCATGCTCAAATAAGACATTTTGAGGCCAATTTTGAGGATTTTTTACTGCTTAGAGGATTTCTGTGGTCTTGGTGGTTTTTCGAGGCAATTTTGGGGGTATTGTGGATGTTTTGGAGGAAGTTTAGGACACATTTCGGTGGGTTTTGGCGGAGATTTCGGGAACATTTTGGAGCAATTTCGGCTGTTTTGTGGGTTAATTTCGGGGCTTCTGAGGCGAATTTCAGGGAAATGCATCATCTTAACCCATGAAACCCATAAATTTTAGATTATATCGTCCACTGGCTTACGATCAACTAGTCGTAGCAGTAGTAGTAGTAATTGTAGTGAAGCACTGTTTATTTTTTTATTCCTTCACGTTCCCCAGTGGAACATAGGGCTTCAAGCTAGAGGCTTGAAGTTTCTGTAGCAGTGTTTATTTTAACAGGATAGGGTTGCTAAGCCTCATGCCCAACCTTTCCTCTTCACCAGCTTTAGTTCTGGCTTAGCGAGGTAAAAGAGAACGCTGGCCGGGGAAAGGCCCCGGACCATGTGCATGGTCGGCGAGCGTCCTAACCGCTATGACACCGACGCACTGTAGTCCTCTAAAATTCTAATAATATTCTACCGACTCTCGTGTTGGTGTCTTTGGGGTAAGTTAAGGAACGAATTTCACTGTTTTGGGGTTTTAGTGGTGTTTTGAGGAAATTTCGGGGTTATTTTGCGGTTTATTAGTGCTTCGGGAGATATTTAGGGGAAAACTTCGCGTTTTTGTGGGGGGGGGGAATTTATCAGCTCCTTGTGGGAATTTATCAGCTCATTGGGGAAATTTCAGTCCTTTTTCGGAGGGAATTGACGCATCTCCTCAAAACTTTTTTCCTTGACTTACCCCGAGAAACCTCGAAATTTCCCCACATTTTTTATAATTTGAGTATGGTTTACCAGTGAACATGACTTCTAGGTTAGTGTCAGGGTATCTAAGGACCGGAGATCCACTAAAAAGGCATATCTTGAAGCCTGAATATATGTTTCACTCTGGAAACAAATAAATATGAATTAGGAAGTAGGCACACATACACACACATCAAAGTAGATCAACAAAAAATACCTTTTTTCATTTCCAAAATGACAGTTATTTATATATATTCACATTAACACGTACCGTTTAGAAGACAGAGGAGTCGATGAAGCACACTGGGACAATTTCGGATTCACTTTACTTGAAGGCTTCACATCTTCCAAAGTAGGATTATTATTGTTATTATAGTGTGAAGCAGGAAACTCGTGTGATAATTTCACTTTAACACTCGTCGTCGTCTTTGGCACATTACCATCACCACCCGAAGATCGACAAATCCAGTCAGATGCTAAACAAGACGTAAAAGAATTTTTTTAAACAGTAACTATCAAATACATGAAAGAAAGAGGAAGCAATTGAATGAACAAAGAGGAAGACTTCTAATGTAATATTCCACCAACCTAATGAGTAAAAATAAATGTCATAATCCAATGATTACATGTGCAGCAACAAAAAGTGTTAATAAGGCAGAACTGAATGAATTTATCAAATTTCGGTAAGGCTCTTCCTCGAATGGATGAATACTCTACATACAGGGAAGGATAAACAATTAAGAATAAATGCCTTATACAGTTCAATTACATCACTTAGATAAACAATTGGTGAGTTATCAGTGAGTGAAAGAACTGCAATATATCAAGCAGACGAACAAACAGGAAGATGCTTAAAATTGTGGAGGAGGTTTGTGCAATTAGGGTATATAAACCAGGTCTCTGTGTACATAAGCAAAATGGTGGCCACCCTGACTCTATCATGGTAATATGTTCTACTTATTAACTGTTATTATTATTACTAATGATATTTTACTCTACATGCCACCTCTTATTATAACTACTTCTGATTTATCTAAAACCATCTTTTATCATTACCATTATGTTAACTCATTCTAACATTATTATTCTCCGATGACAAATTGTTTATTTAAGTGATGTAGCTGAACCGTAATGCATTTGTTTTATATGGCTGTATGTAGAGTATCCATCCAACTGAGGAAGAGTAATTCTACAGAAATTTGGTGGATTCATTAAATCCTACTTTATCAATAACACCTTCTGCCACTTGTCTTAAATTCGTATCTAGAAATAAAACCTTTCCATGTCACTTCATTTTCTGCATAACCTAGGACAATTATTAGTATTTCTCTGGTTATATGACATATGTCAGATTGCATCATCTCTTACTAATATATAAACTATTGATGGTTTAAACTCAACCCTAATTTACCCTATGCCCTATGACAAAGAAATAAACAAGCAGAATAAAGCGGTCATTAGTGTTTGAGAGTGTTGACCACTTCACATATTTTGAAAGTTGTAATAGCAAACCCCAATGGGATGATCACTGATTGAACCTCGACACACGGATATAAAAAACTCGTTTGGCATTTGCTACACAACCTACGCCATCTCTGGTAGCTTAGTAGACGTGATATCCAGTTGGCTGGCTGACTGACTGTCGACCAAAGAATATACGTGTGTACTGCACAGCGGCAGCAGCAGTTTGCTCCATCCTCTTTTATGCCTGGCTGGCTGGTTGTGAGTGAGATATGGCCATTGAAAGTGAAACACTTGAAAAGGACGGCCAGCTAGCTGTCATTCATTATAGGTGTCCCTCTACACTCCGTGTTAGGTTAGTTGTTATGTGTAATAGGGTGAGTTATATTGAGGTGACGTGAGGCATCGGTCGAGTGCTCTTTCCGTGTATCTCTCTGGATGGTGACACCATAAGAATTTTTTTATGCTCGTACAGCTACTAAATATAAAAATTCCATCATACCATATTTACCATACGGGTTTCGTGTGAAGAGAGAGTCGGATGTCAGAAAAGAACTGATATGATTACTAATTTTTAACTTTATGTATCTACATATTTTTAAAAAGAGGTAAATTATTGCAAGATCTATAAAAAGGCTGAAAATTCCATTCTGTATAATTATTACTATTGCTTGAAATTACGTGATTCTTATTATTATTATAATTATTCTATCAACAAGGTACGTGTATCCTAATGACACCACCTAGTTGATATAAGAAAGAACAACCGTGTGTGTGTGAAACAAGATCTAGAGACTAAGTTTACACACAAGTACAGCATAAGGTGAAATGAACATTTAAAAATTCCCACTTACTGGCTAAAACCTCTTCTTCGACAGGAACTTGATCAGTTACATTTTCTGATCTAAATTGAAAAAAAAAATAGGTACATGCATGTGACACCAGTAAATATGCAAAATGTGGTAGAATCCGCAGTATTTGCAGCCCTGACAATATGGAAGAGGAGCTCAAAAGAATCCTCCTCGAAAATAGCTACCCAGAACGCCATATCATCAAAAAAATCCATGAAGCCTAAACCACTAAAATCGGTCACATTTTCTACTCCTAAAAAGAACTTCTCCACTTGAATCTACAATCCAATAGAGACTGATGGGCAGAAATCCTAAGAAACCGCCTGCCTCGCTGCTCACTTAAGAAAAACTTCTTTGTATCTGAACTTTGAATAATTTTCTCTCTGAAACCAATGATTCGCATGAATGTCGTGAAGGATAAGCTACCACTACTGACTGGCCTAACAACTGTGCATCTATCAATTCACCAGCTCGTGTAGAGCTAGGTATGTCGTCTGTACCCAGCGTTTGCTATCCAAACATATCATCGAACACTTACCCACAGTTGTGATTTTATAAAAGCGGAAAAAGATCCCTCCAGGCAACAGCCACAGCTCTATCCTGGAACACCTGATCGAAGAATCTGGACGCCAAGCTAATTCAGCCACAAAGAAACTTCAAAGTTATCTACACAATAAGCGGAAATCTTGCTAAAAGAGGCTTGAATCAAATGGCAATTCATCACGTGATAAATCTTGGACTTTGCATACACAAAGAAGTTTGTTCAGCGTCATTAAATCTACAAAGCAGACCTGATCCGTCATAACGGCAAATATGCAATTCTTGTGTTTTGTTTGTACGCCTAATTTTATTATTTTCTTCCTTCACTCCCTTCGTATTAAATTTCTACCCCTTATTATCACAGTATTGTTAACTTGACCCCCATTGAAATTTTAGTTGAATTCTACTCAACCCTATCAATTATTTGGATGGTGTGATTGGAAGACGAAGATTATCTGAAAAACAATGTGATGTATTTTCGCAATACATTTCGAACAATCTGATCCCTTACACGTTTACTTGTCAAGTCATTTTATGTGAAAAATGAAGACCTACTAGAATACATAAAGTGACAAGAAGGATTGAAGAATAATAAGAATAATTAACACTACGTTTGATTGTAGTATCAGATTAGGATTACCAAGGTAGGTTTGGAGTAATAATTAAATGGTTTTTGTACACACAGGGGGGAGGCTTAATTTTACAAGTGGTTATCACCTCAGTGTATTCCAATAAGCACTTCTGACCGTTTTTAAAAGTAATCTTAAAACCTATGCTGATATCAAATTGATTTTGAGCAGTAAATTATGGAAAAAAACACGTAGTTCAGTGAAGAGTTTCTTGACAGCGGATCCATTTTCTTAGCTGTACAATCGCAAATATATGTGTTATTTTGTATGCATGTGTATATTAAGTTTGTCAAACAAAAATACAATTGGTTGTGATTATTTTAACTAAACAGGTGAAAATTAGTAAGTTTTGGGTGGAGTTATGTAATACAAAAACGGTCAAGAAAATTGAGTGTTAATGAAACTAGTGTAGTGACAAAGGTGATGAGTTGTCACAAACAGTTGTCAATATGGAGTTACGTAATAATATGAATAGTTTGACGATTGAGTTGTACTCAGGATACATATACGAACAAAGTAGAGAATACGAAATTACGTAAGAGTTCTAAATGAATACAAGAATCATAAGTAATTAAAGAAACAGGCAAACAAACAAAATTAAGCCATCAAAAATCAAGAAAGTTGTTATCATGATAGTAGAAGTGGTTGAGTAATTCTCTTTCGTATGCGCAGCTCCGGTTTTCTATGTGAATGAACAGAGCTTCTGCGATACAAAGAAGACGAAACTGTGTTGCCTTTAGTAGGTTATTCTTGACTCTATAGATTACTTTGAAGGAGGCATGTGTTGAGATGGAATGATCAGTGTTAACCAGCTGTTCAATTATTGCACTCCTTATAGCACCACTTTGCCTTTTCGCAACCATGTTGAATAGTGCTCTTGAATCCCCTTGAACAGGATGTGCGTCGGACGACCCATGTATCTGGCTCCACAGCAGCAGGTGAACTGATATACGCACATAGAAGTGGTCAGATGCGGGATCTTGTCCTTAAGGCTTCTGCAGATCAGTGGGCGACTGGAGAACACTATTCTTAGCATTGCTGCACGTAATGTTCTTCTCACAGATGGTGTGATCCTTCTTTTGAGAATATCACTTGCTAAATCTCCCTCAAAATCCAAGTTCATGTACAGTTTCTTTTCCGGTGAAAGTGAAGTTTCATTCCTCCAAATTTTTGGTTTGATATTTTCGTCAATGAATCTTGTAGTCCCGATGCGTCGGATGCGGGTGGCAAGAGATTAAATGAAATTCCAAATTTGTTGGGTGGCTACCCAGCTATAGAAGCTTGTTAGTTGACCATTCTAAGTAGCTTTTCTATAGATCGATCTTCTTAAGGTCCCATAAGTTCTTCTTGTTATTTCCACATCAAGAAAGGAATTTGTGATTCGTTTTCCATTTCAAGAGTGAATTTTATTGCTGGATGGCAACAGTTAAATGTTTGCAGCAGTAGATTGGTGTCATTACTGTTGTCACAAATAATGAATATGTCATCTACGCATCTTTTATACAGTCGTAAATTGTCAAAGCTGGGCTTTAGTGGACCTTTCTCGAGGCTTGCCACGAAGCAATCTGATAATAGTGGACTCAACGGAGATCCCATTGCAATACTATCTTTTTGTCTATAGATGGTGTCGTTGGAAGTGAACTCTACGTTCAGAGTGCATCACAGTAGTAATTCCTTCAAATATGCTGTTGGTACTCCAATAGTGAGATGGTTTTCATATATATATTTACATATAAAGCAGACCGTTTCCATGAGTGGGACATTGGTGAAAAGTAACTCGAAACTTCATCAGTAAAAATGATTGTATGACACCGTGAAACTTTATTAAAATAAATTCTTTCCATAGTGGAATGTTATCATGACCACAGCACTACTTCCCCGTTTTTCCCTTCCTTCTTTGTTTTATGTAATCACTGTATAGTGAGCTCTAAGCAGTCTACTTTATGTTTCTTCAACTCATTTCCAATCTTTTGTTCTCTTGTCAATTATCAAATAATTATTATTCATCAGTCTTAAGTAGATCTGACTTGGTCTTAAACACATCTCTTTTCTGGGACTTCTTGAACCTATTCTTCAAACTACTACTACTACTACTACTTACTACCGGCTTAGCAAGATTTAGCGAGGAGTGCATCGGTGGACGGAGATAGACCACATAAGGTCTGGTAGGCAAGAGTTCTACTGCTGAACCATTAACAAAGTATGGTGAAAGACGAATTGTAAATTATCGCAAAGAATTTTCTTTACCCTCCAATTTTCTTTTGTCTTCTCTATGTATTCAGGACAAAATGATGTCCCTATCTAGTAAGCTTTTGGCGGAGAAAGCAATGTCAGAAGAAAAGCGGTACTATTGCCGTGGTGCGATACAGACAAAGTGTTGCAACGGAACATTATTCTCCCATTCAATACTGCATATATATATATATATATATATATTCGAATATTCTATTTCATATCGTTTAGTGATTCGGTTAAAGAATATAAATTGTGTATATATAAATAGCGGCGTCATAAATTGAAAATACACCCCCCTACTTCCGTGTCTTGCCTTCTGCTGTTACACTACTACTATTACTGTTCACTCAGTCATGCAGCAAATCATCCCCTCCATTGTTAAAAAGAAAAACAGCCCCCCCTGCACAATATGAAAAATATTTTAAAAAGCATGCCAGAAAGTAATCAATATTGCTACCTTTTACGATATGACTGTGTATGTGAAACATTTGAGCAGGAGGCAACACCTGAAAAGAAATTCTTTGAACATGTCGCCAACTTCTTAGTTCGTGCATTTTCCTTCAGGCAACTGTTGTACGCGTTATACGTCTCAGTATAGGCTAGCGAAGCTGGGATATTTTCAGGTTGCAGTAAGGCACCACTCGATGATGATGATGCCGACTTTTCTATAGTTTCATAATATACACTGCTGGCTTGCTCTTGGTGTTGTTGTCGTCCATAAATTGAATTATTTTCAAAGTTGCTCACACAGTTGCCTTCTTTAAAAACAAACAAACAAAGGAAAAACAAGAAATTAAATCTCCACAATTCAGTGTTCATTTGGCAACAGTAAGGAATAGACACCAAAACCAAACGATCCTGAACTGTCAACCAATCAGATTCTTCCAGCCTTAAAGTGTCATTTATTGTATTTATAAGGTATATTCATAGGACCACTATGAAGAAATTTTTTATTTTGATAAAGTCTCACACCGTGTTACACAGTAGTAATATTCACTGATGACCACTTTCCGAGGACAATTTACTTATTACTGCTCACAATCATATCAAAGCACTACTCCCACAACTTGGGTTGATGATTGGTAGTAGTAGCAGTAGTAGTAATGATATTTTCTGTATCTCTGGTACTGGTGATGATGAGCCATTCCTATTGTGTGTTTTGTGTTGAGTGTATATTATCCGATGAACACAGATTCAGTCAGTGACCAACCTCTCTCTCCCTCTCCATCTGTCTATATTACCTTTTGGAATTTCAACTCTGTCCCACCAGACTTTGTGGTCAATTTGTGTTAATGCATACGGTGCAATTGCTAAGTTTTCTTCTTTCTAAATTACTTATCTTCTTGGGGTCAATCATTCTAACCTGAGCTACTAAATTCTCATGTTCTGACAATCTGACTACCATCCACGATCTACTGGTTTAACTGACTGACCTATGCAGTTAGTTGACTTAACTCACAGTCACTGCAGGATATTTTGTTAGTTATATTATGTCTAATTGGGTCAACCTACAGAGTCCTTAAACCTACCTACAGAGATTGTCCTACCTGAGTGAGTGAATTTGTAGATTTAAATACCATCACCCTAATTGCTGCTTTATAAAGAATCCTACGTAGCGTCTCAGATATCTCCTCCTCAAATGGTAAAACTACTGTTGATGCCTTATATTCTTTCGTATTTATGTTATCGTTATTAGTTTCACTATAATTTTTTAAACTTTGCTTTTGACCTGTTCTGATCTTCCTAATGAATCTTATAGGATAGCTGTATATATAACGCCAACGCTTCTTCTTTTATCTGTTTCATTTCATCATCTAGGTTTGCTGATTTACTACTTAGTTGAGCTACTGCTTGCTTTTTTAGACACACTTAACTAAGCTTGCCGTCACAGACAACGGATGAGATGAATTAAAGTCTAAATATCTATTAGAATGCGTTGGTTTTTATAAGCACTAGTGTGCAGTTCCCCTTCTTCTGTTCGTTTTATTTTACAACGTAACATAGCTAATTCTCCTTGTTCATTTTCCGATTCAAATGTGAATTTTATTCCTTTTACTAGTGATTTTATGTGTCAAGAAGCTAGAGACACGTTCTGTTTTTAACACTGTGAAAGTGTCATCCACATATCTCCACCGTATATTTGGAGTAGGATTAAATGTATTAAGAGCTATTCATAAAGATATCTGCTACGATTGGGGATATTGGTGGTGATTATTCAAGTTGAAGTGGTGGGTGGGCGATGACTGACTAAAATTGCAAACTGAATTAAATAATTAATGATACCCACCGTACAAGACGTGGTGGTTCTCTTGGCCCGTGTAGTCTAGTGGATAACACTTTGGTGGCGTATGAAACAATGGGCACTGAGTTCGATCCTCAGTGGAGGGGTGACGGAGAACACCATCACCCATTGACTGGGAAATGTAGGTACATCCATCTAGATGACGAGTCCCAAATAGGAAGAAATGCATATTCTGGTGGATTCCACTGTTAACCACCATTCACCAATTCACTGTGAGTTGAAATATTCTTAGCAGGTATATACCATCAGAATTAAGGGAATTGTTGCTCTAATTTACCTAAAAATATCCTATTTCAATTCGATGGTGGGCATCTAGTCCGTCAAGTTGATGACGTTGCAATCGTAAGTCTCTTAGAAGCACCACTTCTTGCGGATTTATTCTTATCAAGCCTAGAAACCGATATTTAGCAACACCATATACAATAACAAATGGAAATATACCTATGATATGATGTTGATGATATTTTTGTTATCTGTAAAAGCAAATCAAAAGCTGAAGACCTATTGACAAACTTCAACTAATGCCAACTGAATCTTAACTTCAAAATAGAACACGAGGAAACCGATAAATTAAAATTCCTATAAATTTCTCTAGTGAAAAAGACTAATGGCAAAATAGAAAGATCTAAATTTAGTAAGTGTCTCATGGACGAGACAGTACAAATGTATTATTGATATAAGTATAAAACTTGGGCACTGTGGTAGAGTATATCTCCATTATGGATAAGACTTTATTTTGATAAATCACACAGTGTTATACAGTAATATTAACTGACGACGTTTCCAGCACAAACTATTGCTCATAATCGTATCAAGTTGACACGATTATACATATATTTTAAAAGTTTTCTTCCAATCCAATATCAAAAGAACTTAGAACACTGTTCAATATAGCACAAAACTTTGTTTTGACAGTACCATTGAACATGAAATAAAAACTCTGAAGGCTGTTTTATCTAAGAATGGATATCCTGAAAAGTTCATCAACAAATACGCTAAATAAATTGGCTCCAGGAAAATATTCAAACAGTTCCAAAAAAGGTTAGCTGCATACATCAATTTGCCATTTAAAGGAGATGATGTGTACACGAAGAAGTCAAGAGAGAAATTATGATGCTGTAAAATTCGTGCTTTTTGACACCACCAGGCGGGTGCTTCAACAATCTGGAAAATACCAGTATTTGCCAATCCTCGCCACTTCAAATTGCCTACATCTATTTGATAAGTGTGTTTGTGGAAGCAAATACATCGACTGTGTTAGCGAAAGTCGATTGTCTACTCACATGATGAAGTACTTACCAGAGTGGTTGGAAACAGATGAAGTCAAAGTGCCAGAAAGTTCAATAACAAATCATTTAGTATACTGCGAACATGATGTTGAAACTGTCAAGTAATTTACTGTTGTTAGCACACAAACGATCAGACAGGAAAATGCTTGGGATCGGGAAGGAGGCTTGTGCAACTAGGGCTGATAAACCAGGTCTCTATATAAAAAAGGAAATAGTGGTCACTATCAATCTACCATGCTAATATGTTTTGTTTTTTAAGTATTATTACTATTATTATTTTATTCTACCTCTTATTATTACTGCTTCCGATTCATTTAAAACTATCTTTTATCATTACCATTATCTTAAGTCGTTTTAACATTATTATTATCACTATTGTTTTTACTATTACCACTACTATTATTGTGAATATTAAGCAGTTATTAATTCTTGATATTTGCAAGTTCTTACACTCACAGATAACTCACTAATTGGGAGGGTTGGCCATGGGGGACTAGCGACCTCATCCTGGAAAATCAAGCAAACTCCTGGAGAAAAAACTTCAAAGCACAAGAAATATATATTTAAAATATAAAAAACAAACTGACTTTTTGCTGGAATCAGAGAAACCAAGTGGCGCGTCAGAAACTTGGCTAGCGGCCGTCACGAAAAGCATTTCCAACAACCAGCTGAGGACTTTTATCAACAACTCCCCACTTCACTCCCTCCAAAGATCGAATGGCCGGCCAACCAGAAAGAATCGTCAACAAGAAACTATGGGAACAAACTAACCAAGAACCTACTGCTCAACAAAAATGTAGAAGAAAATGGAGATAGATTGGACACGAGCTGGGAGAGACCAACGAGTGACATCACCCAAGTGGAACCTGAATGGAAAACAATGAGTGGAGCGTGGTTGGTCTGAGGGTGACACGGAGGAAGAGATAGTATAGCGAGGGGGAGATGAGAGATTATGGAGACAATCTTGTGGCCAGCCAAATGATGTAGAAGACTGCAGAGAGAATAGGACAAAGTGGAGGCACGTGATCTGTTGAAGCCCCTTCTGTCCAGCTCGGAACCCAGCCGTGAACAATAATAATAATAATAAGACTACACGGAATAGTAACCCATGACACCATCAAAGTAAAGTAGAAAACAAAACAACTTACCATCACTGCAAATACATGGGACAGATGAATGGGACTGAATGCCATTCGACTGAGATTCATGTTTACCATCGAGTGATATATTCGACAAGAAGTTGAGGGCGACTAATTTATGACGACTTTTTTTACTTCTCATACAAAACGATGTATAAACAGTTTATTTGATTTAATAGTCAGAGAAATACACGTTTCATTATTTTGCCAAAAATGAAGCCGTAAGAAGATTGATGACGAAAGGTACAGGCAACAGTTGACTCGCATCGAGAAAGTTAATTATCCACTGTATTGTATGTAATCCTGATATGAGAATCTGTACTTATAATTAGGATTACGCCAATTTAATTGTTTGGATATTCTGTAAAGAAAATATCAAAAACAAGGATGAGTTACTAAGAAAAATCAAAAATAAGCCACAAATAGAGATTATTCTAACACTCATCTTCACGTTTGCAAACACACACACAGAATACACCATCCTAAAAACAACAAATCCAGACAAACCAATAGGACTTCATTATCTTTATCCAAGGCTTCTAAAGGAGATAACAACTCACATAGCCGGCCGGCCCCCTCACTGACTGAATAAAGTGGCTGGAAAAACGCCAGGAGTGACCTCCATCCACAGAGTAGGATCAAGACAATGTCCGGCTTTCGAACTATAGGCCTGTCAGTGTCTCACCAGCACCTTAATCAAGATACTAGAAAGAACATCAAAAAAGGCTTTCATGGCATATCTGGGAGACAACTTGTTATCCAAAGCACAGCATGACTTCCTAGGAAACCTCTCATTGACCGTCAAACCTCACTACGGGGCGAGAGAAAGCTGGCTGGGTCAGGTCAAGAGGCAACAAAAGACCCATCGACGTCATCTCCATAGACCTCAGCGAAGCCTTCGATAAACTACCTCACAAAACATTGTTCGCGAAACTGAAGTCTTGGAATCAAGGGCGGTTTACCAAACTGGATTAGGGAATTCCTCATAGGTAGGAGACAGGGAGGGAGAGTCAGGATTAACTCAAAACTCTCCTAACCCTGGACAACAGTATGTATGGGAGTAAGACAAGGCACTATCCTCCGGTTCCTCTTATTTATTTTGTGATTCATATGTGCTTACCGACTCCCCAATTGTCCTATACACAAATGAACTAAAGCTTGGGAGAGAGCTGAAGGGCGACAGTGATACGATCATGTTGCATAGAGACCTCAACAAATTATTAGATTGGTCCAAACAATCGATGCTCCAGATAAACGTAGCGAAATGTCCAACCATGCACATTAGACAAGCAAGCGTCAGCTCCTATGAACTAGTGGGAATAGCACTCCCATCAGTTCAGATGCATTTGGATTTAAGTGTCACAGTAAGCCACGACTTGAAAACTACAGAACATTGTTGCGCTGTGGCAGCACGTAACATCAGATCTTTATAGGCAATTCGTAGAGTGTTTACTGGAATCATCAGATATATATATCTTTTCGGTGAAACCAAGACTGGGAAACTGTATCCAGGCATCAAGACCTTGTCTTAAGGAGGACCCACAATTCTAGAAGGGATTCAAAGGAAGGCAACACGTATGATTCTTGGCATGACTAATTTATTATACGGGGAGAGACTTGACAGTTTATACCTCTTCTCCCTGCCATACCGTAGGCAGAGAGGAGATTTACCTACAGTGTTTAAAATGTTTTAAATAATCACTACGGACCTGATCTATTCTCTTTTCCCTGTTCTCACCAGGTGGCCGGAACACCTTACAGAACGTAGCAGGAAAGTTCGAAAGGCAAAACGAAACTACACTGCTGTGGAGTATTGGTTCTCACATCGAGTCATCAACCCCTGGAATCGACTCAAGGGAGACGTGGTGTCGGCGTCCTCATCAATTGACTCATCAAACAAGGGTTTGGACAGGCAGAGAAATTTTCTAGAAAAGGATTAACATAGACTTTAAGCCTTCTGTCCTCAGCCAACAAACCTGAATCTGAAACCTAACAGTAAATTATCAAGGATGATGAGGTATAAAAGTTGCTGCAATATTTGAAAGTCATGACAAATGCTACTGTCAGTTTTACACTGGTAATGTAGTCAGTGCACATGAAAAACATTGTGAGGAACAAGAAGACAGGAATACGTTGGACCAATAAGATCTGAATTTTGCGGACGACTTATGAATACTGTCACACAAACTCGAAGACCTACAGGCAGAAAACAACTAACTGGCTGAAGAAGCAGGCGGCGAGGACAGGATTCCAGGTGAACACAGGGAAGACAGATGTGATGAAAGTACCCACGCACCACCATTAACAATAACAACAATTAGCACCAATCACTGTCGAGCGTCGAAATCTGAAGGAGGCCACCTCCCTCCCTTATCTAGGAAACCAGCAGTGTTTCAACTACAAACGGAACAGATGAAGATGTCAAAGTCAGTCAGGATCGGAAAGGCAAGGTACACTATCAATCTGAAGACAGTTTAGAAATCTTCTGCAGCCCGCAACATAAAGAACAAGATTCGGATTTTCAACATGAATGTTAAATAGTTTTTTCTACATGGGTCAGAGACTTGCACTGCGTATCATGGAAAGCATTTCCGACAGGCTACCGAGGACTTTTATCAACAGTTACCTTCGCTCGACCCATACTGGAGATCAAATGGCCGACCAGAATGAATTTGCAACAAGAAACTAAGTAGGTAAGAACCTGTTACTCAACAAATAAGTAGGAAAAACACAGATGAACTCGACACAAACTAGGAGAATGACGTCGCACACCAGGCAGAGCCCCGAGTGGAACCCAAATAAGAAACAACGAGTGGGGTTTGGGTCCGAGGGTGGCACGGAGATCAGACAATATGGACAATCGTGAGATCAGCTAAAGAGGACAGCAGAAAGTAGAACAAAGCGGAGAGGTGCTGGTGAAGCCCTATGTTCCACTCGGAACCCAGCTAGGAAAAATAATAATACTACACGCAAATCATTACCTCAGATTGAGGAGGCATAACGATTCATCGCCATTCAACTCTTTAGTCATTTTGATGACATCTGAAAAAAATCTAAAGAAGTGACTCAGCTTGAGAGTAAGAACTGACGGCACTGCACTGCTGACTAAGTGTGCAATCAGCCTTCCTTCAGCATATCAAAATTTTATGCCACCCGTACTTAGTAGTGGGATTGACCTGTGTAGATATCAGTGGTACTATAATATTCTTCCCTACGATCACACTGTATTAGGAATAAGAATGATGATCAGTGAAAAACGATCCCACCTTACACGCTTATTAACGTTGGATTAACACAATGTTTGATATCAGACGACATGGAAGCATTTTTTTGCCTGCTTTATGTGAAAACTATTTTCTGGTGCCCTAATAAAAGGTATTTACCAACAATGCTGGTGGACTTACGTTCTTATGAATCTATAATCCATCCTCTAGTAATAATGTCTAGATTGACAATTTTTTAGAAAGCTTGCAATGCACATACATTTTTTCATTTTGATATCATCTGTCTGTTACACCTTATTCCATGATGATAGCTGCATAAACACTGGGCACTTTATTTCCTAGTTCCAATAATTAAGTTAGGAAAAAAAAAGCTAACATACACTTCAAATATTTGTTCTCCAACTAACCAAGGTTATATGCAACTTACAATCACACGCTATGGAGTTCATGAGCAAAACATTGTTGTCATATAAAATATAACCATTTGAAAATAAGCATACACTTTATCATGAAAAATCCTAAGGAGGATAACTAGCCGAACTGATTATACTCTTGATAATATGACCAATCTTTGTAGTAGTTCAAATTCTGATACATGTGTCAGTTCAAAAACCGGGGACCTCTCAATTTGCAGTCGAATGCTCTACCACAAAGCTATACCCCCCCCCCTTGATCATGGCCATTTTATTCCCAATCGTCTCTTCCAAATTCTCCTAATCACTCGACATCAACAAATCGATCGTCTCACTCACACCAAAACTAACTCTTCGCACAAAGGATTCACCAACTCCAACATCATCAGCACGAGGACTATTCACATTCCTATTTTCCCCATCATCCACGCTCTCACTCATCACTCCACGGTGATCTGACTTGATTAATTAACTCATTTCTCTTGTTCGTATTCATCGTTTCCTCTACTGAGTCATGTGAAACACTCAACTGTTGGAGAATGTGGGCTGTTGAGTAAACAATCACGATTCTCAGATTCATTGTTTTAAAGATTCGTGTGAATGGCAACCATAGAAGCCGTCAAATTAGTGTGAGGCTCCAGTGATATCCCAACACCTGGTGAAGCAGTCAGTGACAGAAGACTCAGCTGATGAACGCTCGGGTCACGAATGCCTACCTAACAAAACTGACCACTCACCCGGTCACTGCAGTATTATCTCTGCTATAGAAATGGTCATGATCAAGTGAGGTATAGTTCAGTGGTAGAGAATTCGACTATATATCGAGGACAGACGATAGAAGCACAAACTGCTTACCGAGAAGCTGAGCACCTGAAGGTCACTCATTCATACTGTGATTGGTAAATTTTCCTTTGGTAAATGTTGCGGCTAATACGTACTGCGCGTTACTGAGGAGGACTTTGAAATAATGGTCGTAATAAAATCACATAGATCTTATACTTTTCACCTTAAGGAATCAAATAAATGTATGTATAAATTTTTCAGATGTGATATTTTTTGGGAGAAGTTAAACAATAGCGTCCCAGGGGTGAGAACACTCAAGTGACCTTGAACGCGTGCCAGTCGTTGGTTCGCGGCACCTACCGTTATTATAGTGCACATATGGGCACTATTCACCACCTGAGGAAAAACTTTCATCCCTATCACGTTTTAATTACCATTTGGACAATATGTTAACCCGTTACGCTTAGGATAATGGTTGAGGTAGGCATTTAAGGTTAGGCTTAGGATCAAGGTTGAGATTAGTGCGAAGGTTAGGGTTAGGGTCAAAATTAGGGTGAGGGTTACGATTAGGGATAGACTTCGGTGCCCTCTTCGCCATTTTTCGCCGGTTGTGTCTGCCTGCTATCCACCTGTGTGGATGAAACTTGATCTGCAAGTTCATGGACGACTTTAGCTACGGGATTTTGACTCCTAATACTCCTTTTCCGCGTGCTAGCAATAAGTAACTTGGTGCGGAATTCTTCCGCCACCTTTTCACGACTGACAGTGAAGGGCTCATCGGGTATCGTAAGGGCACTGTGGGTGTACAGACTGTGGATGCTCTTCTGTGCTGAAAGGCACTCACTGCCTGACAGAGACACTTCAAGAAGATGTATTGTCTTGTCTATGACGCTAGCCGTGTCACTGATGTCTGATAGGTAGTCGCTCTTCTCCTGTGGTGGAGAACCTTTCAAGTTTATGAGCTTTAGTGCCCCAAGGAGCGTGACAATGGCTTTTTAATACGGAACTTAGTTGTATTGCAGTAGTCACTACATATCCATTCTGAGTGTTGTTTATCTCCACACAGACTTGAGAGTAGTGAAAGCCTGCTTTACTTTCCCGATCTGTGCTTTGATATCCTCGTCAGTTCCGCCTGTAGTTGAAACGATGCTTCCCAGGTAGGTAAAGGAGGTCGTTTATCTCAGAGTCTTCCCATTTATGCTAGTTGTTGTCTGTTGTTGTTGCTGTTGCTTTTGACCAGGAATCTTTATCATCTCTGTTTTCTATATACTCACCTGAAGTCCTATCTTTGATGCTTCTCGGCCAACTTGTTGCTTTTCACTCGCACATCTTCCAGTTCCGGGGAAATCAGACACATATGGTAAGTGAAGTCCAAATCCTCCAATTTTTTCGCGGGTCTATTTTATGTTTGTCTCTTCGTTGACCGCTCTCTGTCTCATTGCCCAGTCTACTGCAATCGGTAAAATCATTAGAGATAGTAGGCATTCTTGTGTTGCTACCGTCTTCACCTCGAACGATTCCGTGAGTTTTCCTTTGTGGATAACTTGGCATGCAGCATTATAGTCCAACCGTTAGAGGACTGCGCGAACACTTGTAAAGCCATACTGATTACTTGCACGGTTCACAGGCTTATGTACTCCTCTGCTAGTTGGCCCACTCTAAAGATATCAGCAGGATTTTTATGTGGCTGCGTGTCATGATCGCGCTAGGTTCTACGCACACAAGGAGCTGGCTTTGAGTCTTTGGCAACACTTGGTCACTCCCAATGATGTAACTGCTAGATCATCTTGAGCCCCGGTGAAATCTCTCCTTCGGACTAGTTCTATGACTCTATATTTTGGTTTCGGTTAAATTTATGGTGTCTTTGGCCTTCATTTGCTTGCGAACAACGAGCCTATTGAATATCATTTAGATTTCTTTTTCCACAAATTATTTGTTTGTCGAACTTATCAGAATAATACTTGCTAGTGAACAACTAACATTAATTTGTAGTAGCTTTCAGAGACCATTTCTTTAACAAAATAATTAATCAAATTGCCGGCTGACAACTCGTAATATTTTAGAAGACCCATGAAGTTTATGAAGCTTTATTTTCGAAATCGGAGAATACCTATTCAAACATTTGGTTTAAAGTTGACCGGGATGAGCGTAGTGAACACACGCCCGGAAAAAGGTATGAGTTACGGACAGTACTTCTAGCCCTCGGAAGTGGTGCTTCATACGACAAACGTGATGAAGTTACGACAATGCCATGTTTCAGCGACCTCTCGTTCTCTATGCTGGTGCCAATGTTATATTTACCACATGATGCAATCTATTGGACTGCCTGGATTCCTTATAAAATAATACCTCATGCACTCATGATGGCCTTAGAGTTTAGCCTGGCTTATGGGGACGAGAACTAAATGGGGATGGCAGGTAAAACTTGGTTAAGCCGAAAAGCAAACTCTTTGGGAAACCGCTGAGAGTGAGCCATCTAACGCCTCGTCTGTGAGGTATGATTCCACCTGTCTCCACACAGCGAACGTGTGTTTACTCACTTGCCTCTGGGGACAGCTGCAACACAAAAAAGGAAGACGATAGTTAAAGAAGCAAGAAATATTACCGCACCCTAGAGAGTAACTCACTGCTCATACAAAAATAAAGAAACAAGTTAGTAAATGTAATGAAAAGATGTCAGTGTATGTTCGTACATGGTTTTTTCACAATTCCGAGTTTGAAAAGATATTCCGTAATCTGAAAAAGAAAAAGTGGAGCCAAGTGTAGGAGCACCAGTGGCATGACTTTCAACCCGAAAAAGTGCAAAGTAGTGAAGTTACGCACCTGTAGACTGCAGAATGCAAGTTACACCCTGTGCAATGAAAGTTTATCCTGCACATCGTTAGAATGTGACTTAGGTCTAGCTCTAACGGAGAAAATGGACACAAGCGTAAATTACTCGGGGGATGTAGCGAGGGCATATGCGGTCATACACTTTACGCATAGAAATTTATGTGCACTCACTCCTGAGCTCTTTCTAAGTTTGTACAAAACATACGTCAGATAACACATTGAGGTGCATAATATTACTGCACCCCCACTGCTTAGAAGACAGGCTTGGAAATATTCCAACGACGGGCAACAAAAAGAGCGGTTTGTCTCCGGAATAAACTATATGATGAAAGGCTGAAGAAGTCAGGCCTATTCACACTTAGCTACCGCCGTCTTAGGGGGGATTTAATTACAGCCTACAAAATAACAAATGACCAGAATCACCCAGACAAAGGTGTTCTGCCATTGAGTAGGTACAGGCTCCCTCGTGGAAATCCTAGAGGGATAGCACACCAGAGGGCAAGGACCCGGGTGCACTACCACTTCTTTTCACTGCGGGTTTACCGTCCCTGGAATTCCTTACCGGCAGATGTAGCTATGGCACCGTCTGTGGACGCCTTTAAGCGAAGGCTGGACAACCATGCACAAGGACTGCATCCAAATGGCCTATCCCCTTAAAATCGCACGCACCATTCAGGGGTAGACAATTACACTTGTCGTTTTACTTCTTCACATCCTCTCCCGTCTTACTCCCCTGACAGCTTTAACTGCACCTATTATTATCATTATTGCCGGTATACATACACATGTATGTATATTATTCATATTATTCTTCAAATTCAATCAGCTGACTGTTGTTACATTTTCTTATTTCTTTTTCTGTCTGTAAGTCTGAATAACTTCACTCATTATATCTATTATTATCATTATCTCTTTTCTTTTGAAGACGATACCGGTGGACTAACTGGCGAAAGGATCAACTCCATTCACAGTAGTAACAGTCTTAACACACCTCATACTACAAACCACATATAATTAACCCCTGCACTACTCCTTTTGGAGTCAACCAAAGCTACGACAGTCGAGTGGTGGGACGAGCTACGCAAAAGTTTACCGAAGACCAGGAACCTATGCCCAACAATCAAAAGGCGAGCACAAAGAAATCACATTGGTTTATATTAGCTCGTAAAAACGATATTGGATATGCAAGATGAGAATGGCAAAACAAAACCTAACTACTTCCCAAGAATTCACAATTACGTACAAGAATGAACATCCATACTGAAATCCTAGATCATTGACACTATAAGTTTAACTGCATACCTGAAAGCTGACCATTCTTTCGAACCCAGGAGGCTGAAATTCGAAATAACATGAATTATGCAGATTCAGCTGTGCTACTTTGGCCTAAATCGAGATTTATTATGGTGACAGACGTTAAAATATTGTTATGTACCTCCTGCTAATTTTCCGATACTCATTTGCAGCCTGAGAAATTTTAGAGGATTATGAGAGATATGGATAGTCACCAGTGACACGTATGGCGATAAATGCAGACTGAGCTAATGCATTAAGAGCTATGAGAAGTCAGTCAGTTATTCCAATTACTTTTTACCGTTCGAACGAGCATACTTTTCAAGTACAATCCATTTTTATCCTGAAATTGGTTTCCAAGACATATGCAGCCTCTAGAAACTATTGGTACAGTATTACGATTAGAGGAGTTGGATATTTATGACGGTTGTTGTTATAGTTGGTGGTTTGAGAACAAAGCTAGGAGTTGTTTTAATACAATTCTCCCACTACTGGGCAGGTATCATAAGCTCCGCTTATCGGAGCTTGGTTTTCCTATGATAAAATCACACTCACCCAGCCACGCAGTGAAGGGGTTAGGGCGGGATGTCAATGCAGCCATCAACTGTTGATCAAAGCGATTTACCAACCCATAAGTTTGAGGATGATATGCTGTGCAGCGGATTCCGTGTGACCCGAGGAAATTTGACAGGTTTCTGCAAAGCTGTGACTCAGACTGTGTCCCTCTGTCAGTTTTTATTGCTACAGGCGCCCCGACACATGGTTACCCAGTGTTGGAGTAAGTCCCTAACTACCGTTTTCGCCGTTATATCAGTAAGTGATGCAGCCACCAGGATCCTGATGCACTTATTGATGCATATGGGTATGAAGTCAGTCCATTTGAGTGTGACAGGGGATTTACCGAGTTTGCGTGTACATGGGCGAACTACCTGAGCGACTGCAAGATGGTTCAAAGGTGTAACACGGTGTCTTTGCTTATGTTAGACCCCCTTAGTGTACTCTCTCGCACATTTATGAGTGTCACATTTT